TTTTTTGCATGCACGTGGGCTACTTTTAGAAGTTGGTTTTCAGCCATTTCATTTGGCTATATAAGGAGCATGCGGCAGATGGTGTTGGTGTGTGTTGTGTGGAAGAGTCAGAGAGAGTTGTGTGAGTCTTGTGTGCTGCACCAGAGGGAAGAAGCCGAGAGAGAGGGAAGAAGCCGAGAGAGAAGGAGAGAACACCATCTGCAAAAACCATTAGTATTCCACTCCAATTCTGTGAGAGTGAGAGAGTTCATTGTGTTCCACTCTAAGTGTGTGAGTGAGGTAAAAACAGGAGAGTATAGTGTGGTGTCATTGTACTTTCTCTGTGTGTATCATCAAGCCCTGGGCATTGGCTTGGTAAGATCTGTCTTGTTGTACCCATTATTTTGTTATAGTGGAAGAAGTTTATATTGCTGCCCCGTGGACGTAGGCATTGCCGAACCACGTTAATTTCTGGTGTTCTTTATTTTTCTGCAATTTCATTCTAGCACTAACCGATCCTAACACAGTTGATACTACCGTTAAAAGTAAGCGTGGAGCTGAGACATTACGTGCATTCATAATGTGTCTATCGCAATTTATATGATTTTGTCTCAAATAAATATTTCTGCTTACCTTGGACTCTCACCAAGCTCTAGGGATGGAACTTCTCTGACTGCCTCCTCCAGAACTCCCCTGACGTGATAATAAAGTGTGAATACATTTGGAATTCATGTAAGGGGATCCCTCTGCTAACAGCTTACAGGTGAGAAAGAGAACTGTTAAAGGTCTACATGCGACAGTTTAATTCCCAAATCAGGTCAAAATCAGGAAAGCGGGTTATGAAAAATTGCTTCTTTGATTTATCAATTAAGGTAAAAAAAATATAGTGAATTTTGCATCAATGTACATACTCAAACAAAACCGATAAGCAGCTGTGCCAGTTTCCCTGCAACGGCGTCAAAAATTGTTGTATTCCTAAAAGGACACAAATTAATGTGCAAGCAACCAATTAAAAATAACCGCAAGTGCACGAATCTATTGAGGTATAGATTATGCAAGTACGGGGTCGATCCCACGAAGAACTTGTCGGCTTCCTATAAGTTCTAATTTGAGTATGTAAAAAACACTAATTTTACACAACACACAAACACAGTACAAATTGGGAACTAAAAATGAAATAAGGAAGGTAAAAAGAAAAGAAACAAAACAAGAAAACTAAAGAAAAACACAAACAGCATTTTCTATCACTCTTTTATCACCACTGCATCACCTATTTATCACCTGTGAACAGTGCCATGAACAGTGAAAATGAACAGGAGCGACCGGTCGTGAACAGTGACGACCAGTCTTTTTTGGACAGATTCATGGGCGACTGGTCGCCTGAACAGTAATGACCGGTCTCCGGAACAGTAAGGACCGGTCGTTTGTTTGACAGATTCGTTTCTCTGTTTTTCCAGTTTCGACCTCTGTCCAGTGTTTTGCATATAACTTTCCAACCGTTTATCCAAATTTCACATTCTTTATACGGTTGGATTCAGCACACAAAAACGAAGAACATAACATGGATAAAAATCCAAAACCAAATACAAAAGCAGACAAAAAGCGATGAAAAAACACACCACATTTCAAACACACACACACAACACACTTGGGAGGGGGGGTTTGGTTTGGTTCAAGTGACCTATTTCTAATGCATGAAAGTAAATGAACTTTGAATTTAAATGAGAATGGCAGAGATGAGTTATCAATTTATGAAAGTACCAAGTAACAAACACTAGGGTTTCGGAATTCACCCTAAACAATTCTACCCATGTTCATGGATACTCAAGTGATGAACTCTAAATGTGTTGATGAAGATGTTCGCAATCAAGACCAGTACTAGTGGCTCAAGACGCATTGATTCTCTCTAATATACGTAAAGTGCAGTACTAGTGCTACAATGCTTGTGCCTTCCCTATAACCGAATCTAGGTGTGCTTAGTACTTTGATTCAATTCTCACGAAGTGCACCTCAATCGGAAGAGGCAATTCTCACTGCCACTATGGTTATTGAGCGTAATCTAGACCTTAGTCCCTCCATCCAATCCATTGGACTTATTCAAGTCCAACACCTTCTTAGGGACAGGAACCTCTTACCTTTAGCTCGTATCTATGGAAAATATAATGAATCTTTTGTGCGAGAATTTTATGCTGCTTTCCCTAGGGTGGAGCCTAGAGATAATCAAGCTGTGCCCATTAAGGTTCGGGGCAAAAAAATTGACCTATCCCCCTCCATTATGTCTGATGTTCTTAACTTGCCTGATGGGGATACTGATGAGTGGAACTAATATCTGGGTAGAGATTTTGACTTGCAAAGCGCAGCTGAAAGACTTTTTTATGCTGACCCTGCTGCCTTTGCATCTCAAACCAAAAAGACTTGCTATCCCTTCCCAAACTTAGAAATAAACATTGTCCTCAATGTTGAAGAATTCAGGCATCAACAACGTTATAACAAGAAATAAAGGGATTAAAGCAATTCAATTAAATAAAATAAAATAAAAATAAAAACAAACAAGAATTAAAACTACAACACGGTTGCAAAAAAAAACAAAAAAAAACAAAAACAAAAACAAAACAAAACAGTAAGCCCTAACAACAGTCCTACGCATGCAGAAATCCAACCCAATGGAACTCCCAAACCAATTGAAAACCGAACCCAAACGAAAGCCCAAACGCTTAGAAAATTAAAACAAAGAAATGTTGTCAGAAGCACAAAGAGCGAGAATTCTGAAAAATAGAAAAAGTGGGCCCTGATGTCTCGGCTCCTGTGAGTCACGGGATACAAAGTGAGAAACGTGTCGACAAGCAGAGGTCCATCTCACATTCCCAAGCCAGAATTATTGGCTTCTTAGGAAGGCGTGACGACTTTTGTTTCTTGAAAGCGCTGAAAGGTAGAAATGCAATTAAAAGGGTTGGGGAACAGGTGAGGTGACAGAGGGGGATAAGCCGTAAGGGCTGCGCGAAACTCAGAAGCGCAGTGGCTAGGGTTAAGCAGAAACTAAGTCTATAAAAGAGGAAGAGAAAGAGGGGGAAAAACACACAAACTCAGAAACACACAAAAGAGAAAAGAAAGTCAGAAAAGAAAGTCAGAAATCAAATGGCCTCTTCCTACCCATTTTCATTGAATCTCAACCTAGCTCCACCAGCTCAGACATGGGGCCAAGCAGCGGCACCAGTATGAATGTCATACTTTGCCTCCGCACGGGGGCCCGTGACAGTGAATGACTCAATACTCCTGGACAACGATGTTGCCCATGGAGTGGCTAGAAATTTAGTGACTCCCAAAGATATACGTGTGCTGGGGACAAGGGATGACAACCGAGTCGTGAACGATGCCCTGACACTAAGTGTGCAAAGTACGGCAACAGTTGCAAGTGTGGGTCATCGCCTACTTGCGAAGTCCCATGAGGTGGAGGTACTGAGGGGTCAGTTGGTGGCGGAGCGGAGTTTGGTTGAGGAATGTCAGAGTATTATAAAAATCCTGAAAAGGGAGAAGGCAAGGATAGTGGAGGTGAATCGACATCAGTTGGAAGCGTTGCGGGAAGAGAATAAAAACCTATCAAAGATGGCAAGTTTTTACTCTCAGGACATGAGAAAGCAGCTGGAGGACCTAGACCGACCGGGTAAACGCAAGCAACTAGATCGCGAGAGAAATTACGCTCAAGCTAAGCGTGCGATTTTTGGGAGCTCGAGTGATGAGCCCCAAGAGGCTGTGCGTGAAAACCCAGAAGAGGACAGCCATAGGGCCAAACTCAAAGCTCCTATGGTCGAGACACTGAGCACTGTGAAAAAGTGATTCTAGTGTATTATTGGTGTGCCTGTTTGTGTTGCCCTTCCCTTGTAATTTTTTTTTTCAGAAATAAAAGAAAAGAAAGTTGCAAAAGACGAAGACAAAAACAAAGTAAACACACTTCCCAAACTTAAATAAAACAAAGACGACAGACGAAAGAGAAAACACACTTCCCAAACTTAAATAAAACAAAGATGACAGACGAAAGGGAAAGACAAAAACACAAAGCATCAGAAAATAGGGAGGGGAAAAAAGTAAAGTGAAAGTAGAAATGCTCCCCTGTAATGGATGCGAACGGCAGATTGCTCGTGAAGCAAAGGGATCGAGAGAAAAGGGCAAACAGCTGGACGGCAAATCCCTCATCAGCAGATGTCTATTTAAACCACACCTCGGTAAACTGATGATACCCTGCATTTCTTCCTGCAAACTCAAGGAAAACCATCAAATAATCCAGAAACAAAACAATGGCATCCTCAGCTATGCTTATTGATTACCTCAACCTTGAGTTATCACTTGCACCACCGAATGCCCAGATAAGGGCTCCTCCAACCCTTTTCTTTCCAAACTCTTCTTATCACCATGGCTTGGCCTCAAACTTCTCTGAGGCGGTGCCGAGTAGGGTAGTACTGCCAGAAGGCATAACTGCCAGCAAGCTCACACCGGCAGATCATTGGCATATAGCGCACAGGTCTGACAAGGTGACAGTGGAGGAGTCCCACACTTTTACCATGCTCCACACGGTCTCGAGCACAAATCTGGGCTTGCGATTAATAGCGAGAACGCGAGAGTGTGCAGCTTTAAGTGAGGAGGTGGCTGCCCTGAAGGCTCAAGTGGCAGACTTGCAAAAACGGCTCCACTGCGCCAATCAGCATGTGGAAACACTGCAGGGGAAAATTGAGGACCATGTAGAGCTGCTGCAGATTCTACAAGTGCGAGCAAATAGAGGCAATTAGCAGAAGCCTCAGGTGGCCCAGAATGCAAAAGAAACATGTGATTCAGAAATTTATGTATGCATTTTCAAGTTTATATTTGTAATCGCATGTTAAGAAATGAAATAAGCATTCGAGTCAAGTTTCTGAGTGTGCAATCATGAAGCAATCTACTTCCCAAACTTAACAACAAGTTAGAAACACAAACAAGTAAAGGAAAGCAAAAGAGTAAGAAAAACAAAGAGAAACAACAAGAAAATCGAAATTACCTTGGTTGGAAAATTGTAACCCTAACTAAAATAAAATAAAATAAAATAAAATAAAATAAAAGAAAGTTTGAGTCTAGAGAAACTCCACTTTGAAGCGATTAGGATGACAACAAACTTCTTCTATTCACCTTGGGTTGCCTCCCAAGAAGCGCTAAGTTTAAAGTCTTTTGCCGGACTTCCAACATACTGTGGTCACTTGGGAGGTTTTGGCTCAATCGCCTCCTTGTGCCGAACATGAAGTTTCTTCAAATCTCTTTGCCATCTAATCAACCCCTTTCGTATTCTTTTCTTTTTACCCACATGAGTAGATTTCAAAAGTAATTTTAAGCGCTCTTCAATACGTGGATTAGATGGAGGAGGCACATATTTAGGATTAGGTAGCCTTCTCACTTGAGTAGAAAGGATGACATTGAACATGTGATTGGTGCTTGGAACATGGATGTTCAGCTTATCTTCCTTTAGTACTTCAAAAACAGAATAAGGCATTAGATTAATTGAAGCACCTAAATCAATTAAAGCTTTTTCGAGCAATTTATCACCAATTATACAAGGAATTGTGAAACTTCCTGGATCTTTCGACTTGGGAGGAAGCTTCCTTTGCAAAACAGCAAAAACCTCTTCCGTTAATGTAACAGTTTCGTATTCCTTGAGCTTGTTTGCATCCAAGAGAGGAATGTTGACTTGCACCTTCTCGAAAGTTTCCAATACGTCCTTGGCATGTTGATTTTCCTTAGAACTCATTAACCTGTGAGGAAAAGGAGCACATAAGATATCTTCATCAGTAGGTTCATGACATACCTTCTCCTTCCTTGCCCTTCTAGCAATTTCATGTTTTGGGATCCACTCAGGTGAAGATGCTGCTTGTTTATTTTTCTCCTTGTTGATTTCATCCTTTTCTTTAGGCTCAGTCACTTGTTCAACCTGCACCTCATCATCATTTTGAATCAGATTTTCAGAATTATCAACCTCACCAATTACCTTACCAGTTCTCAAGGTAACTGCTTGAACATGCTCATGCCCGGTTGGATTAATCACTGTTTGGCTTGGCATCATCCCGGATTCCTTTTGACTCAAAGCTGTAGCAATTTGCCCCACCTGATTTTCTAGATTGGCTATGGCCTTATCAGTTTTCTGCATGTGGGTGTCATTCCTTTGTATGTAGCTTTTTGTCTCCTTGATGAAACTATCTGTGGTTCTAACCATTGAAGCAACAAGTTCTTCCAAAGTCGGTCCTTGAGGTGGTTGGTGAGATTGTGGTGGAGTGTAATTTTGAGGTTGATCATGAGGTGGACAAGTATTATGTTGGCCTTGATATGGTTGATATGGCCCTTGTTGAAAATTTGGATTGTCGATCCACCAGAAGTTCGAATGATTTCTCCACTCCGGATTGTATGTTTGTGGGAAATATTCATTCATAGGCAATTCATTCTTAAATGAGCCAAATGCATTTGCTTCCTCCATCACAAATTTATTGAAGTATTCTTGCATAGTAAGTTCCACAATTTCAACTGCGGTTGCCATTGGTGATGGTGGAGGTGACTCCTCGGATGTTCCTGTAAGAAAAAGAAACAAAAACAAATCAATATAAAATGAAACAACAATCAACAAACAAAAATAAAACTAAGTACTCTAAACATACTCAAACAAAACAGATAAGCAGCCGTGCCAGTTCCCCGGCAACGGCGCCAAAAATTGTTGTATTCCTAAAAGGACAAAAATTAATGTGCAAACAACCAATTAAAAATACCTACAAGTGCACGAATCTATTGAGATATAGATTATGTAAGTACGGGGTCGATCCCACGAAGAACTTGTCGACTTCCTATAAGTTCTAATTTGAGTACGTAAAGAACACTAATTTTACACAACACACAAACACAATACAAATTGGGAACTAAAAATGAAATAAGGAAGGTAAAAGAAAAGAAACAAAACAAGAAAACTAAAGAAAAACACAACAACATTTTCTATCACTCTTTTATCACCACTGTATCACCTATTTATCACCTGTGAACAGTGCCGTGAACAGTGAAAATGAACAGTAGCGGCCGGTCGTGAACAGTGACGACCGGTCATTTTTTGGACAGATTCATGGGCGACTAGTCACCTGAACAGTAACAACCGGTCATTTTTTTGGCAGATTCGTTTCTCTGTTTTTCCAGTTTCGACCTCTGTCAAGTGTTTTGCCTATAACTTTCCAACTGGTTATCCAAATTTCACGTTCTTTATACGGTTGGATTCAGCACACAAAAAGGAAGAACACAGCATGGATAAAAATCCAAAACCAAATACAAAAGTAGACACGTTCTTTATACGGTTGGATTCAGCACAGAAAATAGAAGAACACAACGCGGACAAAAAGTCCAAAACAATTACGGAAACAGATAAAATTTAGTAACAAAGACACATAACGTGTCAAACACGCAACTCACACACACATTTGGGGGGGGGGGGTTTGGTTTGGTTCAAGTGACCTATTTCTATTGCATGAAAGTAAATGAACTTTGAATTTAAATTAGAATGGCAGAGATGAGTTATCAATTTATGAAAGTACCAAGTAACAAACACTAGGGTTTCGGAATCCACCCTAAACAATTCTACCCATGCTCATGGATACTCAAGTGATGAACTCTAAATGTGTTGATGAAGATGTTCGCAATCAAGACCAGTACTAGTGGCTCAAGACGCATTGATTCTCTCTAATATACGTAAAGTGCAGTACTAGTGCTACAATGCTTGTGCCTTCCCTATAACCGAATCTAGGTGTGCTTAGTACTTTGATTCAATTATAAGAAAAACCCATTAAGCTCAAAGAGAATATGAACACCACAAGAACTCTAATAGCATGATGTTTACATTAGGTATTCAAGAAACCAATTCACATGGATGATTCTTACTTCATCCATTTATTGCTTAGGATAATATGAAGATACACATAATCCCAACAATCTCAAGAAGCATGCTTTCAAAGATAGCCAACCAAGGAAAAACACACATCAATGATAGATTAATTTGGTGAATTGGAATTCATCAACAATATCTAGAAATTCATACGCTCAAGCATCAAAACAATAAGGTTTTCATGTTTAGGGCTTCAACCTAAGCCCTAACTATGGAGCTTAGTTCCTCATACTTATTTCAAATACAAACTCAAAATAAAACTAGAAAGAAGTTACAGATTTTGTGAACATGGGAGCTCAAGGTCTTCAATGGTGGAAATCTCTTCCACTTCTTGCTTTGTTGCCCTTGTCTTCCTCCTTGAGCTCCCTAGCTCCAAGCTTCATCTTCAGCTCCAAAATCTCTGCAAAATAATGGAATAAATGAATGAATTGCAGATTGCACATTCATTCTCCTTTGCCCATCATTTCCACCTCACACTTTTAATATAAAACTCATTCTTTTGCCAAAGCCTTTTGCCTTGTCTCCTTGCCATGATGGGTTGTTTTTGTTCTTGTCTTCACAAAGATGCTCATTGCTTCAGAAAATATCTCTTAACCAAAGTAATTTCTTGTTACCAAAAGGCATGGTAACAAGTAGAAATGAGGTAACACCAAGTGAAAGTAAAACTGGCCCAAAACAGATTTCCAGAGCCAGCATCAATTGTTAGATCCGCTGGATAGGCTACACTTGTCCAATGGAGCTCAAATTTGGATATGTTGTAGTCAACATCCATTGGAACAAGTTTCATGAAGATCATCACCTCATCCGAGCACCGGAGCATGCTGATCCAAGGCCAAGAAGTTGACCTACGAAAATGAACAAAAATCAGAATATATAACCAATAATGCACTTTTAGCTCATTTTCATTCTAACTAAGGTAACACCTATGAAAACACAAAAAGGAAGTAAAAAGCTATAAAATGTCAAGAACTAACTCAAAATACTGGGTGAATAACATGATAAATCATGTGTAAAAATGAACCGAACAAGCACCATATACTATCATCTTATAAGCATCCATTTGTCTTCCTCACTCGAATGTGCCCACAACGGAAGGAGTGTGAAAGAAAAAATGTGAGCAAACTCACAAATTGAGTGTGATGCTGTTGCTCTTAAAAACTGGCCATCCAAAGAACCATCATTGCCCTGCAGAAGAAACCCCTTTCCAGTTGGCTTAAATTCAAGGGATTTTTAGAGAAGTTTCAATTTGTCAATGAAGCAGGCCATTGCAGAGTTAACATCATGCTGGAAACCTTCAGTAAGGACTCACAGATACGAATGAGTGCGAGATGCATTCAACTTGCCAAAGCAATTTCCAATATGGATGGTTGGATATACAGCTAATTTGGGAAGATAATCAGAGCCTATGGAAAGAAATAGGGCACATTTTACTGAAAATATATGAATTGCTAACATAATGATGATTCTTAATCTGCCTTTTGTAGTAATTGGTTGATTTACTGAGTTTCATTCTGATCAGAATATCTAACCCTTAAGCTTGTTAATTGGTTGTCTTATTGAAACAAGGCTTTTAATCTCAGGTTTTGCTCCGAAGTTCACATTGGCCATGCGGGTCATGAAATCCGAACTTGCACTGGCCCAAATAGTGGTTTTCGGAGTGCTTCACATGTTTGGAAGAAGGGAGGAGTTCAAGATGTGGTTTCCTTTCCTAAATGCTTCCATCTTTATGATCGTGTTGGAAAACCAAGAGTTGGGCATGACGAGAGGTATCGAATCCCACAGATCCCTGCCATTTTGGAGCTCTGTATACAGGCTGGTCTAGAGATTGACGAGTACCCAACAAAGAGAAGAATGAGACCTGTATATTGTATTGAAGGAAGAATTGTGGACTTTGAGATGGTTAACAAAATGGATGAAATGGATAGAAACTCATATCCTGGGATTGTTGATACCCTAGTAGATCCTGATGTAGGAACTAATATGGAAGAATTGAGAAATTCAGCTTCACTGAGTCATACTAACTGTGTAGATAAATCGAGTGATAAAGTGGGGAAATCTTTGACCGAGTTGAGTAGTACTACAATGGGCTCATGGTTTGAGATGATATCCGGAGCAAAGAATATCATGGAGAAATACAGTGTGAAGACTTGTGGATATTGTTTAGAGGTCCAGGTGGGTCCCAAGGGGCACAAAGTGAGGATGTGCAAGGCATCAAAGCATCAATCTCGTAATGGTTTGCATGCATGGCAAGAAGCAACAATAGAAGATCTTGTAGGTCTGAACTATGTTTGGCATGTCCGAGACGTAAATTGTCCTGCTCTGGATAACAACCTAAAGAGGTATTAGGCAAGGCTCCAGCTGTGGTGGAGCTATGTGTGCAGGCAGGTGCACCTGTTCCGGATGAATATAGGAGTATGATGAGATTAGATGTGGCTTCTCCTGAACGTGATGAGGTTGATCTTGTTGCTTGATATAAAGTTCCTGTATGCAGATGGATGTGATATACTAAAGAGATGTTAAAAGGGGTTCTGCTGCTCTTCCATATTGTGTCTGAAAGCTGCGAGTAAGTAAAGGGGAGGAAAGCTTATTCGAAGACATATCTACTTCCATATTGTGGCTTATAAATGTGAGTGTTCTCTCTGCAGGTTTATGTAGTCCATAGGTTAATTTGATTGCACTGCCCTTACTTCTGTAGTTTCTGTTGCTCGAATTTGTCGAGCAAAAGAGAGAACTAGGATGAATTAGTAAAGAAAAATGTATCTGTGCTTCAGAAGAAGCCATACACTACTACAAAAAGTGAAAAAGACGACTAGAAAAAGATGACGGTAGAAGAAAAAACCGTCGTTGTGTTTAAAAAGACGACGGTAACAAAAAAACCGTCGTGGATAAGTGACTTAAACAACTAAAAAACGGAGGTACCATTGAATATTTTTTTATAACGACGCACACAAATAAAAAAGCGTCGTCTTATTAAAAAGGTTTTCTTCAGAGTTAAAATGTGACCAAAAAACGACTATAGCAGATATGACAAGCGTCGTCTTTTAAAAATCAAGTGTCCTTTTTTTGGTAAAGACATGGTTGTTTTGAAAAAACGGTCGTCTATTATATGTAAAGATGACGGTTTTTTTTTTAAAAGGGTCGTCTATTATGAAGTAAAGATGACGGTTTTTTTTAAAAAGGGTCGTCTATTATATGTAAAGATGACGGTTTTGTTTTATAAAGGGTCGTCTATTATGAAGTAAAGATGACGATTTTTTGTAAAAAAAGGTCGTCTATTATATGTAAAGATGACGGTTTTTTTTTAAAAAAAGGTCGTCTATTATGAAGTAAAGATGACGGTTTTTTTTAAAAAAGGGTCGTCTATTATATGTAAAGATGACGTTTTTTTGTAAAAAAGGGTCGTCTATTGTGAAGCAAAGATGACGGTTTTTTAATTAAAAAAGGGTGGTCTATTATATGTAAAGATGACGCTTTTTTGTAAAAAAGAGTCGTCTATTGTGAAGTAAAGATGACGGTTTTTTTTTTAAAAAGGGTCGTCTATTATATGTAAAGATGATGCTATTTTGTAAAAAAGGGTCGTCTATTGTGAAGTAAAGATGACGGTTTTAAAAAAAAAAAGGGTCGTCTATTATATGTAAAGATAACGCTTTTTCGTAAAAAAGGGTCGTCTATTGTGAAGTAAAGATGACGTTTTTTGTAAAAAAAGGGGTCGTCTATTATATGTAAAGACAACGGTTTTTTTTATAAAAAAAACCGTCGTCTATTATATGTAAAGACGACGGTTGTTTTTTAAAAAGGATCGTCTATTATATGTAAAGATGACGGTTTTTTTTAAAAGTGTCGTCTTTTAAAACACGCTAAAAAATGGTCACTTAAGTGAATTCGCGCTCGACAAATTTTTAAATTTTCACCCTTCTTTGAAAACCTTATCTCTCATTAACAAACGTCGTCTTTTAAAACACGCTAAAGAAAGGCTACTTAAGTGAATTCGTGCTCGACAAATTTTCAGATTTTCCCCCGTCTCTGAAAACCTTATCTCTCCCTCCTTGAAACCCTCCTGCACTCTCTAAAACACCCTCATGAAACTCTCTACAAAATCATCAAAAAATCGATATCAATGAAAGAGTTGAGAGATTTTCGCAGATCCATAAGATGTAGAGGGAGGTTCTGTATTTGAGAATCAAAGCTGGTTGAAAGGTTTGATTTGAAAGTCACCTAATCTCTCAATACCCTTCTATATCTTGCTAGTGAATTTTGGATTAGTCTCTTTGCGTTTCTAGTATGTTCTTTGTCTCCCTGATTTCAGATTTTCTGTCTCTCTTGATTTGTCTGGTTTGTTTACATA